GACGGTACCCGGACTTTCAGAGTTTGAGCAACTTTGACTTACTTCGTTGATAGTTTTAAAATGTCTCTGTAGATCCTCTTCCGTATTAACGTTGAACAACGATTCGTTGGGTATAAAATTCTTTAGTCCAACGTTTAACTTTGCTCCAAACATGGCCTCTTAGGGGCTGCAGTTTATACCAGTATGGTGCGCTTGATTTTTCATCAGTAGTACAAAACGTAATCCTTCCGACCATTTGTTAGTATTATTAATCTCCAACCAAGAACTAAGCATATTTTCTACGTCTTGATTACATCTTTCTACTGAACCCTGACTTTGTGATTGCCTGGGCTTTCCATGCACCATTTTTAACTCGGACCACATATTACACATTTCTTTGATGATATTATTGGCGAATTCTCTGCCATTATCACTTTGTAGAATACTCGGTGCACCAAAAATTATTAAAAAAACCAAAAGAATATATGCTACTTCTTCAGTCCTTTTGTTTTTAGCTCGTTTAATCGATTATTCATATCACTTAATGATTCCTCCATGATCGTTACTTTTGTCAAAGAAAAAAGATTAACTACTGGTCACATAAATTTAAAATTCGGTACTAAATGCAATACGCGTGAGCAAGTAAGATGTAAGTTCTGATTGGCTAACTATGTCGGATGATCACTCCTCAACATATTATTATCACTTTGCCCGACTAGGTGGTAGCAGTATTCATAATGACCGGTCAATTTAATAAATTATTGAAATTTATTACAATGCCCGATTTTGTTGGTCATTATTTATAATGCCCGGGCATTATTCATAATGCCCGTATTAATCACTTTGTCCATAACATATATACAAAAGGTAAATTCTTTACAAAATGAGTCTTTGTTTATTATCTGATAAATGTATACTTTTTTCGTCAATTGTTCACAATTGCAGATGCCTTTTGTGTAAAATCCAAATCGGATGTATATAAGCTAATAAATGTTCTCGTTAATCTTATCTCGCCTTTTGGTTCGTTCACGGTTACAAGAGATCACCACATAGAGTCTCTCAAGTCTCCGTAGATATAACAGAAATAAATTACACAAAATAAATTGTAGCTATGCGTCGATTCCGCGCGACACATCCGAGCATGTAAGCCGAACAATAGTGTGGGGAGAGTGAGCAATCAAGAGTTGCATGGCGCTCAAACAAAAGACGAATCGACGAGATTTGAAAATCGCGTAACTCCGGGTTCGCGTAAGTCGGGGTATGACTGTACAATAAAATATTTGTATTTAATTGGCATAACTTTTATTCATTCTGTGTATTTATAAATTCTATTGTTTCTTGTGATAAAGGAGTCTAAACGGAAAATTCAGTTTTCAATATGCAATGAATCTACGAGATCTCAGATTAATCGAAAATAATCTCAACTTTCTGGGGAAACTGATGTTCTATAAGGAGCTAGAAATCTCGTTAATTAATATTATTTAAATTAAGTTTTGCTTGTAGATTCATATTTTTCGCATGAGTATTCTCCATATGTAATGTCTAGGTACTGTACATATTTATTAACAGATGGGAATCTACTTATATGGAATTGTATCCTATAAGTCTGCTGTGACATCACTCTATATGGGTTATTCAAACGTATAGATTAAGTTTTAACCTTAAAACTTAACCTGAATACATTTTAATAATTACTGAATAATTAAATTCCAAATATATCGATACGTACTGTACTGTACATTAATAATTTAAGCATCTGCATAGGAACAAGTTTTCCGTAGAAAATCTTTTCGTGAGATATCTCTCTTGGCAGATCCCTTCTGTGGTGCATTGCCTTAGGTTTTAGGTTAGGTTAGGTTAGATTAATCCAATTCAAAAATCTACGAACAATCTCTATAGGGAGTAATAGGATCATTCTCAAAATTTTTTAGAAGAAGCCTAGACTAATTGCTATGACAGTCACACACAGACAGAGAGTTATAGGGACATTCAATTGACCTCCTAAAATTTGCTTTGTACATTTTTTTTTCTTCAGTTTGATTGAAATGACTACTTTATAAAGTAATGGTATTTTTGTAAGAGTACAGTGGTACCTCAGGATACGAAATTAATCCGTTCCGAAACTGAGATCGTATCATGAAAATGTCGTAAGGTGAATCAACTTTTCCCATACGATTACATAATTCGTTCCAACGCGAAAAACATACTCAAATTAAAGCCAAGTAATACATTTAAAAAAATAACTGTAGTAAGGAAAACAAATGAAAAATGCGAATTAATGTAACGTCGTATGGTGAGTTTTTGTTCGTATCGTGGAGCAAAAATATGTTCGAATTTCATGTCGTATCCTGAAAATTTCGTATGCTGGGGCGTTCGTATCCTGAGGTACCACTGTATTCTAAATATTCGTGTATTTTAGTAGTTTTTACACTGAAGTACTGTATTGATAATTGGAGTTCTCATATACTTGAATGGATAAACTGCTAAACAATGATCGCGGGTTCGGCCTCACCAAAAGGCTGGTCGAGTGGAATTTATCGAGTTTTTTTCACCTGCGTAACACCTGAAAAAGGACTTGTTTCCTACTGAAAGTCGTCGTTGGAGGTATATGGATCTCTCACGATTTATGTTTCTTTATCCCATTTAACTTACATTTCTAGAGCGATGAGAGGATTCTTTCCTAAAAATGTTACCTTAACTTAAACTTTCTAAAATTATTTATAATTTTGGTAAAATTTAGTAAATGATAAACACTGAAAACTCATGCATTTTATACCTCAATAATTAGACGTTGGTAAATTGTGATATAATTTGAAAATGAGAACACATATGTTATTTATAAATGCGTTTATTGACACACATATCTGCAACATACTAAAACGTATTTATTTTAAATAACATAAATAAGCCGCAATCAACAGTCGAATATTCAAATTGTCTACAAGATGAATAGCATAATACCACTTTGTATCGCTCTCTTTATCGTTGGCATTAAGAGTGAAGAGGGGGGTAAGTAACATCATTTTATGAGTTTCATATTTATTATACAAATTTATTTATTTATTTAACTTAGCTGATTGTTGTATGCTGGAAAAGGACAAAGGATTGTGTCTTGCAATTTTTCCAAGTTATTTTTATAATGCCAATAGTAGTCGATGTGAAGAATTTAATTACGGTGGGTGTGGAGGAAATTGCAACAGATTTCCTAATTTAATCGAATGCTGTGAGACTTGCGGAGGAGGTAGGTTATTTAATTTGATATAAAAAAGTAATTTACGTTTAAAACTATATTTAAATAATTTAATTACAGGTAATTGCGTAGAAGAGACCACTCCATTATCTTAAATGGATGAAACATGTGGCACTTGAACATGTAGCACTTTACAAATCCATATTTGAAAGAGCACCACTTGCAATTATTCTGTTTTACTTCAAATAATTCAAATAAAATTTGCCTGATTATTGTTTTCTTCTAGAATCTCATTTATCTTAATTAGAACTAATATATTATTATTATCGTTTAATGAATTCACCATTCGATTGACGGCTGTAGGATTAATTGGATAAGACATGACAACGCTAAGGTGATCGGTCAAAGGTGAATGCCTTCTGGAAGGAATTTTACAAGAAACTGGCCCCTATTTAGGTGTTACTCATGTGAAAAACCCGAAACCCTCTTGGCCATTGATGAGGTGTGAATCCTCCTCCAACCACCAATGTTCGGTGTTCTTGTCCACTCGGCCATTAGTGGGCACCGACAGAAGAATTTATGTTGTTGATGATGACTCCAGATCGTTAACAGGATGGTTCAAAGTCAGTTACCCATATTTTCGTATTATTTTCTGCATTTAATCTCATTTGTTAAAACTATGTTATTATACATAAGCTAAGCGAAAAATTGAAAGATTGAATTCCAATTGAGAAAAATTCTCAAGATAGTTACCGGAGAAATTCGAAATTTTGAAAAAAAATGCAACAATTTAAATTGTATTTTTCTTTGTTTTTTAACGTTTTTTCACTCTTTGGGCACTAAGAGGCTTTCTTTTTATACCCATCAATCGGCCGTCTTCACTTACACTTGAGGATGAGAGACAGGACCTGATATACTGTATCTCGAACAGATTTCCAGGAAAAATTCCTGAGTTTACTTTGCTCAAATTAAAATAATTAAATAAAAATTCATTAATGTAATTATTTGTCTGCACTCCTCCTGGAAAATTGTATGCTGATGCTCATGGTTGTAAATACAGTATACAGTATTTATTACATAAGCGTAAACTTTAGATTACTGTAAAGTGAAAACTGATTGTGTTTCTGCTTTGATACACCGAATCCTTGTAAGGCTGGTAGTGTTTACAAAGAATCAGTGTAAATTACAAAAATACGCGTAGATGGAAGCGCGACCCCTGTATTAGATCGCCAAAGGTAAATCTTTTAGCACGATATAAAGTCAAATTTTTTTTTTAAAAAAACATTAACTCTAAGGTGGCAAAAAGTATAAATCTAGGGCCTAGAGTTATATTTTTATCTGAATAAAAAAGACGGGAACTCAACAGAAACAAGTTGTTGCCAATCTTTATAAATGTGTATAATAATGTATTTTGTGCTATTTATTTACTATATATCAATATGTTGACTTTCTCTTTCCAAAGTCGATTGAAACCTAACATGGTGATTTAGGCATGGTGATTTTATAGTGTCCGAAATTGCTTCGGAATTTTTCGTAGATTTTCTTATAATACTCTACAATTTTAGGTTGCCATAGAAGCAGAACCTAATCACCCCAACCTAAATTTGTAGTGATTTAATATATTTGATGTTCGTGTCTCCTTTTTTATAAATTGACGAATCTGTTGCATTTCGATTTTCTATGAATATTTAGTAAATAAATTCTATACTATTATATTCAATTATCTTCTGACGAATTTGTAAATAGTTATAATATTGTAACTAAGCTTTGAAAGATTTCATGTTAAAGTCAATCGCTGCTTCACATATTAGCAACTACGATTTTGTTAAGGATCTCATACTTTTCGGACCAACCTTAAAGGAGCAAAAGTCAATGAGAAAGAAATAAATTTAATGAAGTGCGATGGTCGCACGCTTGATTCAACAGATGGGCATAAATGTGTGTTTGTCGATGCGAAGTTTTCAGTCCAATGTACAAGCAACATTACAGATTCTCGTACGATATCAAGTAGCCCATGATACAGCTATACGCTACATAAATCTACATAAAACTGACCTCATGAATTCCTGTTCGCATTGGGACCTCGCGTAATTTAAACACGTAACTTACTAAAATCATGACATTATAATAATAATATAACAAAACATCCAAGTAGGTTTATGCCTTATTTATTTTCGATATGATGTACTTAATGAATTACAAAATATTTCAATATCAAGAAGATACTATTTGCCATTTGTTACTGGGTATTAACAATCACCTGTAAAAAACAATAAAGTATTCAAAGTAAATCAAAGAGGCAATAATTTATTTAGCGCGGATAGACTCACCTCTAACGCAAGTTGAACAACAATCATCATAGTTGTCGAAATTGTTACAGTTTCCACATTCTGTAGGTCCACCAAGTAATCGAAGCTGGCATTCATCGGTCTCATTGTCGTAAAAATATCGAGAATAATATCTATTACAGTCATCTAAATCTAATGGTAGAGAACAGCATTCACCTGGAAATTTAAAAAAATACATCAATTCTACAGTTTAATGGCTAACATAGTATCAAGAGGACGCTTTAAAACATGAACATAGCCATTTTCATGTTTTAAAGCGCCCTCTAGTGGCCAAGTGGATAAAACCACTAAACATTGGTAATTGGGCGTGGGTTCGTGCCTGGCCAACGGGTCGGCCACGTGAAGTTTTCCGGGTTTTCTTCAAGTTTGTAACGTGTAGAAAACACTTTTTATGGCCTAAATAGAAGCCAATTTCCCATAGAAAATCTCCCAGCAAAAATTTCCGTGGCAAATCACTGGACGATCTGCCATGGGGGCAGATGACTTTTTATTTTGTGATCAAATAGCCACAAAAGGGGTGAGAATCGGAAGTTACTTTTAAAATCAGCTACATTTATAACCTTTAAGTTCCAGACAAAATGGCCGATTTTGAAACTATACACTTATTTACTGAACGTATACTTACTATCTTGTGAATTTACTCGGACAAAAAACATAATGAAGCAAATTAATATGACAGTTTTCATTATATTTGAAGTTATCTTTATTTCCTATATTGATATAGTGAATGTGGGCACGATGTATATTTATATAAGTCTATAGAATAGATCAACGACTGATATTTGTGACACAAGTGTGATGTGTTGATTCATCGTGCAATTTCAAATACTAACTTTATTGGATTTGAATTGAATACGTTACAGACATAATGTAAACACATTTGAGGTCTTTGTTGTTATTTCCACATCTCTCTCATTAAGTACACGTTCTCAATTCTGAAATCTGTAATATACATAAAAGTACATGTGTATTTATTAATTATATATTGCGAAAATATAATATTTAAAGAATATTTTAAATAATGTATTATTTGGATTATATTATATTCCTAATATCCGAGGAACCCCCTTAACAAACCACAAAAAATTCATGACTTCCAGCCTATTCTGCAAATATGAAAGAAACTAATAAACGATATTTGTCCATTGTCCATTGTCCATTGTAACTTTGTCGTATCTCAACCAAAACCTGGCCTTGAAAACAAAGAACATTTCCTGTTTTAAGGCCATTTATCTAACAGAACTAATGTGTTGTGAATGTGATGTTATATTTACAAAATCCTCTCCTATTTTAAAAAGAATAGGTTGTATTAATTATAAGTTCAATTTGAAATTTATTGATATTTTTAAATTAGAACGAGATAAAGGTGTATCATCGGTTTTCCATCATCCTTGGTTTCATATCTTTGACAAATTAACTGTTCTGATCGTTTAAAATGCCGCGGAGTCATTAAAGTATTACGTGTTAATTGCAGAAGAAGAAGAAAATAAATTGTTGGTATTCAAGCTTCTTTCAAGATCCTTCAAGAATATATATATATATTTGTATCTTGCTAAAGTACATATTATTGAAATATTAATCTACCTGTTTCACTTTTATCAGAAAATTTTCTTGGGGAAAATGATTTATATACATAAAATGAAGATGTTGTTCAATGATAATTAGTCGGAAAATTTCAAGTGTCTTCTAGTAATTTTTTCTCAATTAAAGAGGATGCCGGACAATTATTTCCAGAATAATTGAGAGCGTACATACACTTTAATATTTTATGCATTTTCTGCGGATAAAATGTAGAAAATTTGGCTTATACTTAAGTTATACATTTTATATTAAAACACGGAGATAAATACAAAAAATAAAGAAAGAAACGATTTTAAATAAACATTAAGCATTTCTGATTACTGTTCTTGCTGCTATTTAAGCGAAGGAATGTAGAAAATAATGCATACTTTGCAATAAATCGTTTATACTTTTTAAACTTTTGATAAACATTTCTTCAATACTATAGAAATTAATAAATCAACATTTCAAAGATGTGCTGAAGGGTTGCTTTTCAGAAAGGAAACAAAACTTTATAAAAATAAAGCACATATTTCATTATTGTAGGAAGAAGTTCAGCTAATATACTAATATAAACAATTGAGTCGATGATTTAACGTTGTTTCAAAGAGTTATTATCTGATTATGATACTATCGGCTGAAATCTGTGAAATGTGTTTTTTATACATATAAATACACAGAGCATTAGATAAGGAAGCAGTTTGCTTGACAGAGCATTCTCTCGTTTTATATTCTATCGTTTATATGCAACAGAGCACCAAATAATAGTGTTTATTAAATGAACACTGTATTAATGGCCTTTTTAGAACAACAGTCCGCATAATGGAGCAATGTTCTAAGGATGATCTGTAAGGATTTATCTTTTATCACACAGTACATAAGCACAACGACAGGGCTCTCTACACTGCGGTACTTTTTGAAATATGTCATATGATTAAAACAAAACGAGTGGAGGAAGTTGGTGATGTTGAACAGGACGTCCACAAAGTTAAGTCCACGAAGTCACTTGCAGTTATCAAGATCTTTAGTCATAGTTGGTTTATAATATAATATGGTGTCAACAGTAGATGCGTTTTCTTTAAACCCTTATTGATTTTGGTGCATGATGCATGTTTGATAGATTTATAAATAAATAATTCTAGCAAACATTTTATAAAATGTCTGAAAAATTTACATAACATTGATTGAGGGTAGTTATTAATATCTGCATGACTTTTATTAATTGAAATTATCATGTAATATTTACTCTTCAAGGATAGATACATTGATAAAGGTAGAACAATTATATCAGTTGTGAATTTTAGAACTTCAGCATAAATATTATCTACAGTATATCAAATAAAAAAGATATTTCTAAAAGCAAAAGTATTTTGTTAGATAGTTTTTTATATTTGTTGTTGATATGTGAACGAGTCGGAAATTCTCTTATATTTCTCTAATTATCTGCAAAAGTTTGGCAATTAGAATTTTCATCAGACAGGTGCTACCATTACAATATATTTCGTTAATGTGAGGATTGTTTTCAACGCTTTACAGTTTCTACAGGTAATTTTTAATCGTTCTCCAGTATTCTACATAAGAATAAAGTAAATATTTTAATTACAGCGGAACAATTTTAGAAATACGCGTGTAAAGTTTGATAGAAAGTGTTAATAGGAATCAGTTTAAAATCAAATTTATTTTTCTTTGTTAATCTAACAAGTCTTATAACTGTTGTATAGAACCCAATATAAATAGAAACATTGACGAATTCAGGATTATTTTATCCCACTGGAAGCTCAAGAGCAATAATTTGCTCCTATCTCAACTTCCAACCTTCCTAAAAATTTGCAGTTTAAGCAAATTTGTCTGTTTATGAAAAAGTCCAAAGCTACACATTATACGATTTGTTTATCGATCGTTATTAGGCAAATTTTCTAAGTTGCTATGTTTCTATCCTAAAAGATACTTTGCAAAAAGCTCGATATTATGTCATATGTCAGTCACTTTTACGATTATAATTTGTGGAATGTTTTACTTTATTCAAGGGGAGGGCAATCCTCTGCGGATTCCCCTGAACATAAACCATTTAGAATATATATATATATATTTCAATGTAATGTGTCATTCTGAATTGGTGTACGAGTAGTTTCAATGAAATTAATATTTTTGTTACATTTCTTTTTTTTTCTTTTTTTTTGCTCTTTAGATACCGAGATTAATTTCAATATTGTACGTTTTATGTGTTTTATTCAATAAACGTATTATGAGTAATAAACATAAAAATGTATCATTTTAGTTAAATCGGATATAAACAGCGCAAGGGTAATATGAAATCGAGTTCAGACACAGAATAATTGAAATCGATTTCATATCAGGGAGGTATTTTGAATGGGTTGGTTGCGTTGGAAGTCTTTACATTGACACACGTAGCGCATAATATGAATTATAAAACATCCACTAATGTACCGTAATACAGTATTTGACTAATACATTTTTTAATATGAGACTTTTTACATAGACTCTCCATACTCACTTTTAATGACACAAATTTATTACCACTAAATTTCCACATCTCAATGAGCAATTCTTTATTGTGTTATCGTCACAATGCCGTGCGCAATTTTTAATCATATTGTTAATTTATTTAATTTATAATATACACTTGATTTTAGTAGTGTCTTGCCCCTGTACGTCATACTTNACACAAATTTATTACCACTAAATTTCCACATCTCAATGAGCAATTCTTTATTGTGTTATCGTCACAATGCCGTGCGCAATTTTTAATCATATTGTTAATTTATTTAATTTATAATATACACTTGATTTTAGTAGTGTCTTGCCCCTGTACGTCATACTTCTCCTGTTAACAATGAAGTCATGCTGGTAATCTATCTAACTCTGTTTAGGGAAAACTTTTCAGAAGTTTGTAGTTTAAAACCCGAGGAAGGATAAATTAAAATAACGTGACTTCTAATGTAGATAGGAGGTCCATATACACGTAATCGGGACCTCCTGTCTCTAAGCTTTCTATAGTTTGTCTCTACTTTTATTTATCTACCACCGTTTTCGAGTTTAAGGAAGGACAAACAGACAGACAGACGACAGTGGAAATTTATAGGTCTACAATTTTTTCAAATTTCAGCCCAATTATAGCAAAGCAAGAAAATACTAGGCGTTACGTACAAGACCATTTCTATGAATCTATGGAATTCCAATTTGAGTTAATTAACAAGATCCTAAAATTAGAAAAGAATTTATTTGTTATTTATATAATGTAAAAAATAATCATTTATTTATTTATATAAAAAATAATTATTTTACCATGTTTGCAGATTTGACAACAACCACTTTCGCTGAGAAAATTGTTTCCGTTTCCTCCAGTTCCTCCATACAGAAAAATATCGCATGTACTCGTTTCAGAGTTATAATAGTATCTCTTTAGTAATGCCCTTCCTCGGCCGGCATCGGGTTTAGCAAAACAATCCTCTGAAAGTTAAGAATTTAAGTTATAAATATTTATGTTTAGCTTAAAATATTCAAGTAAAGGCACGGGTCTGAGAGTCCAGAGTTCGAATTCGGGTCAAATTATTTTACATACGGTGACCACCAGCGCTCGAATGTATTAAATCGTTGAACACATGTATTTAGTCACGGATTCGCGCCTCCACCAATCAGCTGGTAGAGTTTTTCAGGTTAGGAGCCAGTTTCTCATAGAAATTCGTTCCGTGTTGGGTTGCCTTATCTCATTAATCCATGCCAATATGAACATATGGCATGGAAACGCCTGGACGAATCCGTGATGAGTATGATTAAAAGGCTATTTAAGTGCCAATAGAGCGGAAAAATTCGAAAATAAAAATTTAAAAAAATACATTCGAAACTTACTTTTGGCATCAGCAAACGAATTAAATAGTAAACAAAGGATAGCAACAACTACCAAAATGGACTTCATGTCTAAGAAATTTATTCAAAATCTAATAAAATTTGTCTCTATTCATCTTATATATATATTATTTTCTTATAAATTTATGATTTTATATTATTGTTATTATTATTATTATTATTACAGAAAATTGTTTCCAGATGCGGTTTTATTTAGTAAGTTATTTTATGACTTAATTATAAATCATTAGAATGAGTATATACAACAGGCACAATGATTCTATATTAAGTAAAATGTTTTTGATTTATATCTCTTATATATCCCTTTGCATATGCTAAGACTAAGTAATTGGCAGAAAGAATTCAGAAATACTTAATTAAATCTTCGAGAAAATCGATACAATACATATGAAACAGATGGCATTTTATAATAGGGGTATTAAATATAACAATTACATTTCAGAGTTATAAAAATATTTAATCGTAATTTTAAACGAAATTAAAAGTTTAGTCCACCAATTTATAGAATTATTTTCTAATTTTGGGATATAAAGTTAAATTTTATGATATTTTGAGATACAATGTTAATACAATAACCATTCTTCCAATAATGAACGATCAGGAAAAACTGCACCAAACCCTTATTTTTGGGGAATGTACAGGATTGCCAGATACATGGAGTCACCTCCAGCCCAAACATGGCAATTACATGTTAATTATTCAAGCATTCTTTTTTAATTTTTGAGTTACCCCTTTGACTACATCTGGATCCGTTATTGCCAGGTGTCCTGCTGTACAAGAATATTGTACCGTTTAGTGGGGTAGAATCAATTGCGAGAGAACGTATCACGTGATAAATATTTTTTTACTTCAACACTGAAGCGACACCGTTTACACACAATGATACCGTGTTTCCCCGAAAATAAGACAGTGTCTTATATTAATTTTTGCTCTGAAAAATGCGCTAGGTCTTATTTTCAGGGAATGTCTTATTTTTTCCAGGAAGAAGAATTCACATTTATTATTGAACAAAAAAATTCCCAAGTCGAACTTACACGAGAGTGACGTATTTCCGGTGTGTCGAACTGTCGCCTTTTTATAGCGTCAACATCGGACTCGATGACCAATTAGTGCTTACTGAACCGTAGCACTATGCAAATGTCACGTGGCGTGATTCCCGGCCGACCAATTAGCCATCACCAGCCGTAACGTTATGCAAATCTGTGATTCCCAAGCCATAGCGGTATGCAAATCATGCTGTGTGGCGTAATTGTCTGCTGACCAATCAGTGGCTGTACTTTCAAAAAGCCAACAGCCACTTTCATCCATCTGTCGATGACCGTTACGACTAAAAAAAAACTACGCTAGGTCTTACTTTCAGGGGTAGGTCTTATATTTCGCAATTCAGCAAAATCTATGCTAGGTCTTATTTTCTGCGGATGTCTTATTTTCGGGGAAACACGGTAGCATACAGGAGTTTCACGCTATCATCTATTAGAGTAACCTCTCTATAAAAGTAACATATGCTTCAGTTTTCAGTATAATTTTAATATAATTTAATAATAATCAATTGTTAATTTGTTATTTATAAGTGAAGGCAAATTTAAATCTATCATCTTTCATTTTTGATTTCATATAATTATTTGCTCGGATTCATTAGGGGTGAAGATTGGTGTGGTTGGGTTGAGAGAGGGTGATAAAAACAATAGTGTTAGTCACTAAAATATACATTGATTGACTCGAGTGTGTTTACAGTAATGAAACTGCAAAACACAAAAATTTGCTTGAGCTTAGAGGGTGTTTGGGAGTGGAACCTCAGTATTTTTTCTAGGGTTTCGAAAAATATTCCTGCCAAATTTGGTGCAAATACGTTGAACGATATAGAACCCTTTATCTAACAAATGTATGTGTACATAATAAGTTAAAAGATGAGCTTTAGGGTTGGTTGGGGTAGGGACCTCCACAGTATCTTTTCTAGAGTATCAAAGAATACTCATGCCAAATTTTATGAGCATACATTGAGCGATACAGAACCCTTTGCCTAACAGCATACATACATATTTGACTTTTATATAGCATATAGATTGCATAGATTGTATAAGATACAAGAATTAAAATAAAAAAAAATATTGCATATAAGCCATTTTCACTTATTATTTATAACTGATTTGTGAATATTATTAAAATGTATTTCGCTTACGATTATTTTAAGTATAAATTTCAAAAACGAGAAGTTATACAAAATCGAAAAATGCAGTTTTTTCATAATCGTTTTAGAAAATATCAACAAATTTCGAAATTTATATTTATACTCTCAAAATGGTTAATTTTCAGAGTATAATTTTAATTAAAGATATTTTTGGGGAAGGTGAGTAATTTCTATATCTCTCTTCATATTTTCAAAATTTTTAAATTAATCATTAGTAATGAAAATAATTTAATTATTAATCTAAAATAATTTTAGAATCCTGTCTCAGTGATTAGTATTAAGTCTGAGCTGAACATTTCTCATTGATTAGTGTTATGTGTTGTATTTATGTGTTGTTTAGTTGTTTGTATGTGGGGAAGGCATAAATCGGGCTCTGTGTAAATCCAGAGAAGATTTAGAGACATAATAATAATAAGAAATAAATATTAATTAAACTAATGGATGCATGCATAGAAGAGGAGTCTTTGCCCCTCTTTCCACAAAGTTCTATCTATATAATTATTGATATAATTATGTTTTTTTTTTTTAATTATTCGAAATTAAACTTTCTACTTTAATTGTATTTTATAAAATGTTCCAACCGCTAGAATAAATCTAATAGAAAATTTCACGATGTTATAAACCACTGAAAAAAGATTATAAATTTATTTTTAAAATGGCTGAATTTCTCCACACCAGACTTAAATAAGCATTTAAAAATCTAACATAATGTTTTAAAAATATAACTGGATTCAAAACTATTATTTCTATTTCATTTATATTAGAAGTAATTTGTGTATTTTCTTTGTAATTTTAGTTTTGCTACTGTTATTTTAGTTCTTCTACTTATTAAATACTTGAATTTGCCGTTTAAAATCTTCAAAGTTCGATTTCTGTAAACGAGATTTAGTTTCCTCTATATTGTTTCGTCGATTTTCGTATATTATATGAAACTTTGTGCAACTTTAAGAAATAAGTTTCTTAATAATCCTGCCCCTAAGGCTTCCATATCTGGTCTCGTCTTTCATCTATCTAACTCCATTCTCGATATTAAGGAAATACGGACGGACGGACGAAAGTGGAAATTTATAGGTCTACAATTTTTTTCAAATTGCAACCCAATTAGTACAAATTAAAAGATTACTCGTAAGTACGGACAAAATAAGACGTATCAATTAAGTAGTGTTAATATAAAGTTCTGCTAATAAAAAACAAGAGGAAAGGTTGCCTACCCCTCACCTAGATTATTCACTGTCTTACTGACAGAAGTCGCAAAGGTTTCTGTAGTTTCATTGGGCTTAGTGTCAACATTAACTACTTGAAACCGCAACCCCCTTCTTATAATCAAAACAGTGGATAAGAATTTGATACACCTTTACACTACCCATGGTTGCAAGCATCTGTTAAAGCACAAAGGAAATACAGTATCTGCATTTGAAACTTTATTGAAACTTCTAACGAACTTCCCTGTTTCTTCTGTTTTTATGCTTGTAGTTGATACATTATTTACTATTTTCGAGCCAAAGAATGCTTGTTTCAGCAATACAATTCATGAAACTGTAACTGTTGTCATGTGCAACAGCACGAAATCCAATAATACCTTTAGGATGAAAATATAAGTACAGTGGAACCTCGGTATACGTCTGCTTTAGAATACGTCCAATTCGGAATACGTCCTGTTTGGACGAAACAAATTTTGCTCGGTATACGACTTTTGTTCGGTATACGACTTTTGTTCGGTATACGACTTAATTCAATTATACGCGCCATCTATGAACAAGTAGCACTATCGGTGTATTATACCACACTAGACGTTCGCGGTGCCACAATTTATAACTTTATTAAATTTTTTCTGATTTTAATTTGTAAGTAAAATGTTATTATTTTTATTAATCATGAATTGCAAAAAGGCAACAGAAAAAAATGACTAAAATCACAATGGAACTGAAAAAAGAGATTGTTGAGAACTATGAAGGTGGTAGCGTGTCCAAGATTTAACTGTTGCATACCATATTCCGAGAACGACGATATCGATAATCGTGAAAAGTAAAGATATTATTAAATCTGCTAACGTTGCGAAAGGAGTTAAATCAATTTCTAAACATAGATCGAAGACATTAAATCGTGTCGAGAAATTGCTTTTGCTTTGGATAACTGAAAAACAGTGTGCTGGTGACAGCGTATCAAAAGCAATTATTTGAGAGAAAGCTAAAAAGATACACGCTGATCTCGTGAAAAATCAAACAGGAACTAGCCAGGAAAGCGAGGTGTTTAAAGCCAGCCACTTTTTTAAAATTGAGAACGGATTAATCATTTTTACATTACTTCTAATGGGAAAGGTTGGTTTGGTATACGTCCTATTCGGTATAAGTCCAAACACCAGGAACGGATTAAGGTCGTATACCGAGGTTCCACTGTATTTTTTTTTAAATAGTTTGTCTGTAAATTTGCATTTTCTCTGTGAGATAATTACGAACTGACTTCAGTCCTGTTTTGGATCGTCGCATCGGCGCAGTCGTTGATCAATCCAACGATTGTGATACATTGTGGGTCTCCGTAATTCGCAAGCTTTCGTTTTGTATATCGTTCGTCAATTTTTGTCCAACCGTTCCGGAGTTACAGCTCCCGGAAATTTCCGGACTTGGATCAACTTTTTCCGGCCCGCTTCCGCCGGTAAGTGGACTTGTTATATATCATTCGACAGGGCTTTTTACGCCTATTCTTACGGTGCTACCGGTTTTTTCTTCCGTTCTTCCGTTCACGAGTTATCTCGACCGAAACTTTTCTTTTATAGGGCCGTCGTGCGGGCTTGTCGGGCCTCCGGTTCATCCCATATTCGGATGTTTCTTCTTTCAGGCCAATATCTTTCCGGACAGTGAATTCTGTCTCGTTTCCGCAAATAGTTTTTAAGTTATGGCCGTTTTTAAATTTCATAAGAACAAAGAAGGCAAAGGTCATTGACCTTCCACGTGGCCGGGTCAACATTCTACTTGACCCTAATTCGTCGGTTATTTTTCCGGTTTTCTCGGGTTCTTTTAGGCACATTCTTACGTGACATATATTAAACGGCAGCATAATTTTCGCTTATTATTAATCTTTTAAGCGTTGCTGCCTTCTATTTAAATTTTTCTAAATATTTCTAAATTATTTTTAATTTGTTACAACTCATTATCTGGGTGTTTCCCGGTATCTGTTACCGCGAATCCGTTAATCATAGTCTACCTAGCTTTACTTAGTTATAAGCGCTAGTTTAGGTGCCATGGCAGACTCGGACGTCGAACTGGACTCATCCACAATGGACTGTGAGGCCACCTCCAGGCCTGATTCTCCGTCAAGGTTTACCTTTGATGACGGGGCATATCTTACTCTGGAGGCTAAATTACTAGCGGAATCCAATGAACACCTTCAAAGGATCATGGATTTACTTCCCCCGCCAAGTAAATCTAACCCAATTGTTCCAGAAAAGAAGGAAATCAAGGAGCGTGTTGCCTCAATGTTTGCCAACATCAACGCAATGTACGGTAGTCTTGTAGAGCTTAGGGCTTCTAAGTCCAGCCCCACCACTATCCAATGTCAGTGCCAACAGTCGCAATCTAGGCCGGCCCCCTCCTACTCAGACATAGTGAAAACAAACATTCCTCAAAGCACAACCACCAAAACTATCTCCAAGTCAATTAATAAAAAGATAAAAAACGAAGGGTGCAGCAGCAGCTACGCCCTGATTGTGTACCCCAGAGATGCCAACGATGGAAATGTAACCATGAAAAGCATTCAAAGAAACATAATCAAAGATGTCAAACCAGACAAGCTAAAAATTAAGGTGACGGCCATAAAGCAAGTTAAAGGGGACGGGATCTGCTTCCGGACAAGCAGCTTGAGGGACGCTACTGTCCTAGAGCAGGCGATCCAAGGGCTCCCAGAGGTGCAACCACTGGTAAGGACCAAATTATCAGAAGGCAGACGCCCAAGGATGATTCTGCTAAACGTCCCCAGCTCGGTAGGAGACGACCACATCATAAGCACCTTATATGAGCAGAACGAATCCCTCCACAGCATAAAAAAGGAAGACTTCGTTGCCTCCACACGGTTCAGCACTGCCCTCACAAGGGGCAACACAAAAGAGAACTGTCGGCACATAGTGCTGTCAACAACGCCACACATTAGAAACCAACTAATTAAAGAAAAATATATCTCCATCTCTTGGGCTAATGTCCTTATCAACGACTATGTGCACATCACCCGCTGCTATCAGTGCTGTGGCTTTAATCATCTGGCACGCGACTGCACCTCAAAGCAAGTTTGCAGTCACTGTTCCAAGGCACACAGATACAGCGAGTGCACTAGGAGGGAACAGCCTTCTTGCTGCATCACTTGTAAAACAGCAAATAAAGACCTCGCTCCAGAAAGGCGCCAACCAACGAACCATAATGCGTTTGACCCCAAATGTCCGCAAACCATAAGAATAAGGGAGCAAATAATAAAGCAAACCAATTATGGGGACTAATCCTTACCAAAGCAATCTCAAGCTGATGCAAATAAACCTTCAAAGGTCAAAGGCAGCCACCACCGAAGCCATGCAAATGGCAAACACCTATCACACGGACATTTTGGTCGTCCAAGAGCCTTACTGTTACAACAGAAGGATTGCTCTCTTCGGCAGTCTCAACACTTTTAACCACTTCGACCCATCAGAGAACCCGCGGGCCGGCATCATCATTGTGAACAAGAACACCAACGCACACCAGTTGATCCAGCATACCTGCAGGAACTACACTACCATTATAATAAAGATTCACACTATCTCTCTGGCCATCATCTCCTTTTACTGTTCGCCATCAGAAGATATAACTCAACCGCTTGAGGACCTCCAAGAAACGATCCAACACCTAAAAGGAATCCCGATACTGATTGCTGGAGATTTCAATGCGAAATCTCAGATCTGGCACAGTCCAGTGGAAGATCCGAGGGGATACAAGGTAGTGGAGCTTATGAACAGTTACGATCTCCAATCCATGAATACCAGCAGGCTGGCGACCTACTCTTCCTCCACGGGGGAAAGTTGGGTCGACATCTGTCTGGCTAACCGCCCTCTAATTGCACAAGGGATCCAATGCAGTACCCTCGGAACGCATTCGGCCAGCGACCACCGCTATATCGAGACGGTGATCACAGCTATTGGGGTGATCAAGCACTACTGCATCCGGCAAAAAACTCATTGGGATCATTTTCAAGACTATATACGGAGGAACTGGATATCAGATCCACTAGTGAATATGGATACAATTGAACTGGAAGGGACCATAGACAAGCTCCAGAAGCTGATACTACAGGCCTACAATAACACCACCAAAACCTATACATCTAGGCAATCCGCCCCATGGTGGAATAGGGACCTGGCAAAGCAACGACGCAATCTTAGAAAATCAAGGAAGCGCTTTCGGCGGGAGCGCAATCAGGACAGGCGGGAGGAGCTCCGCCAGGACTACCTCACGCTCTTCCGGGACTACAAATCCTCGATCTGCAAGGCACGCACGGATTCCTGGAAGTCATTTTGC